TTTATACTATTCTTCCCTGCTCATCTTATTTGCCATTTTATTCCAACACCAAAAGATGATGCTGATTATGTCAACATAATATTAAATTTATTTATATCTTTAGCAATAGTTACAGGATTATACTTTTTAATTGATTGGTGGATTTATGAAATTTTTGATGGCACTGGTATACCTATTTAAGTTTTGGGATTTATATTTCTAGGTGTTTTGGTTTCAACATAACTTGCATATCATTAAATTGATATAGCAAAAGAAGAATTATAATTGAAATTCACTTAAGCATTCTTTTAGACTGCCATTTGTAAATCATCTCTTTGTATGGGAATTACTTGGGGTATTCAATCTTTGATAAATATTGATACTGGATTAATAAGAAGAAGCAGTAAGCACTCAAAGACATTTGCAATTTGTATTATAATTGTTTGTGGACTTGTTGCATTTTTATTATTTTAATGCTGGTTAAAAAGATTCATTTTAGCCAAGTCAGAAGCTTAGAAATACATGATTGTATACTGTCTCTTATTGATAATAATAGCAGTTATTGTTCCATTGGATGTAATTAAATGAGTTATATTAAACATTAAGATTATTTGTTTTTCATGATTATTAAATAGTATTATTTAATTTCTATATTATATATGAATAATTATTAATGTAATTTTTTCTAAATTATTTTGTCTTCATGTTTGAATATGTTAATTATTTGAATTATAAATAAAGAAATCATTATCCTAAAATTATAAATCATAATTTAATAATTATTATGTTTGAAGATGATAAAGATAGAAAGCTAAAGTAAGCAAATGATAATGTAAAATATTTGGAATCTTAGTTGACTGTAATTTTATACTAAATAATAAGCCATTAGTTGAGAGCAACTCAAAATTAAAGGAAAGTATTCATGCATTATAATACTATATGGAACAAAGGAGATTAGATTTTGCTCAGTTATTAAGTTATAAAAAAGAGCGCCATCTTCAAATTAATTTGAGTGATATGGTTGATGTTTATGAATGGTTGAAGAAGGATATTGAAAATTATTTAGAGTAGATATAAGAATTAGAAACTGAAAATAAAATGTTTAAATTATTTATTTAACAACAAGATGAAGAAACTAGAAATGAGATTGGAAAACTAAATGCTACAATTCTTAAATAAGAACATACTATAAAAAAATAATTAGAATAATTCAATTTAGAATAAAAAAAAAATTAAGATCATTAATTAACACTCAAATTAGAATATGATAAAAAATTAGAAAACTAAGAAATTAAATTTAGAGATTTAATTCAATTAATTGAAAATGAGAAAGATGAAATTTCTAAAAAATATTAACAATTAGATGATGAATATTAATAGAAATTAAAAAAATAAAAATTGGAATTGATTAATTAATTTGATAAATAAGAAAGATAAAATTAAACAGAATTCTCAAAATAATTAAAAGAATTGAATGATTAAATCTAAAAATTAGATATTAAAAATAGACAACTTTTAACAGAAATGCAAAATGTTAAATAAGACAATGGTCTTTTAGCATAATAGTGTTCATCACAATAAAAAAATATAACTAAATTGAATCGTCAAGTTGAAAATTTATTATAGACTTTAAAAAATAATAGAGATGAGATTTCTACATTAAATTTAGAAAAAACCAATTTATTAAATTTAATAGATTCATTAAAAATATAGATAGAAAAATAAAATAAAAAAGAAATTGAACTACAATAATATATTAAAAATTAGAGAGATTAATATATTGAATAATAAACTAAATTTGAAAATCAAATTTCTGAATAAGAAATTACAATTAAAGAGATAAACTCTCAATTAGGAAAAAAAGAATTATGTATTAAAGAATTATCTGATATGAATGTTAAAATAGATAAAACTTATTAGGATAGATTAAATAAATAAAGAATTAAATATGAATAATTACTTTATCCTAATAGATTTATAAATACTGATTAATTATTATATAAAGAAACTATGATTTAACATGATGATACTTTAATTAAAGAAGTTATTGAAGACTATGAATTGATGCTTTCATAATATGCAAATTAATTAGAAAGTTAAACTATTAAATTGTAATCTTTGGAAAATTCATTTTAAGAAAAATAAAATGCTTTAAAATTATAATTTGATTAAAAAGTAGCTAAATTAGCAAAAGATTATGAATAGAAATTTTTAAGAGAAAGCAAACAATAAAAATTATAGATAGAAGAACTACATTTATTAAAATAAAAAGAGTTAGAGGCATAAAAAATTAAATAAAGCAATGAAATAGAAAAACTAAATGTAGAATTTGAAAATAAAACATAACATTATGTTAATTAAATTTAAAATTTACAAAATTAAAGTAATGAAGATGCTAAAATAATTGATTAACTAAACTAATTAATTATTTAATTATAAGATAATACATATGAATTAAAATAATCTCATGAGCAACAATTAGAAATGCTTAGAAATAATCATTAAATAGGAAAATAATAATTAACTGTAGCTTTTGAAGAAAGATTTAATAAAGTTAATGATGAATTAAAAAAACTTCAATTAGAAAAAGATAATTTTGAACTTATAAGAATATAAGATTAAAAGGTATTGAATGAAATTAAAAAGAAAAATGATGTACAATAAACAATCATAATACAAATAAAAGAAGAATCTAAATAATAATAATAGGTTATAAGTGAATAAGTTTTTATGATGGAGTAATATTAATAATAAATTTAAAGATTAAATGATGGAATTAAGTAATTATAATAGGAAGTTGAAAATTCAAAATAAGTTTATAATATTTTTAGAAATTAACCAACAATAATGCATAGATAATCTGATGATTCTCATTATAAATCTGATATAAAGAAATCAACTAATACATAATTTAAATTTTCAAGAACAAAATAAGTAACTAGATAATCTAATAGACCTGCTTTACATAATACTTCAACAACTTTTATTATTTAAAATGGAGAACAATCACAATTACCAAAAGTCAGATCAATCTCAACTAATTAAATTAGAACAACTCCTAGACATCACTCATCTTAAGTATGATTAATATTTTCACATTTTTTCATTAATTATAAAAATGTTTTCTTTTAACAGATGATTAATAAATAAATTAACGAATTAAATGTCAATTTAAAAACGTAAAAGAATCTTTGATTCTTCTGATGATCATTCTCCAATAAGAATTGTATAGAAATATTGTGCAGCTAATCTCTGTTTTGATGAGGATACAAAGAATCATTTTATTAAAGAAATTGAAGAAAGAAAAAAGAAAATTAGCTCAATTTAGGTATCATTTACTAAAGAAGAAGTTGATAAAGTCAGAGATTATACACTAAATAAATTAAATCTTACAGCTTAACAAATTTAGAAGCAAATTAATCAAATTAAGCCTACAGAGATTAATCATAAAACATTTGAAGATAAAGCAATTGATTTTGAAAATAAAAGAAATAAAATATATACAAAATTTTAAGAAGATATTAAAGTCATTGATTAATCAATTTCTAATTGTATCACTGAATAAGAACTCTAATAATAATTATCAAGTATAATAAAATTATAATACTAGAATATAAAGTACCTGCTACTTGTATTACAAAATGGACTTGTGATGGATTTTTAGAATAAAGTTTGGCTGAAATCTAAAACTTTTCTACTGAAATCCACAAATAGTTGAATGGATATTCAAAGTAATTGTAACCTCCTCCCTCTTCTGATATTTAGTAATTAAATTCATTATTGGAATCAACTAACAACTATGATGAATTGTAATGTGATATGTTAGAATTAGAAAAACAAATGGCAGAATTTTAAAAGCAACTTGAACTTGAAGTTTGAAATTTTAATATTTTTACTAATTTATCATAATTTTTATTTTAATTGATATCCATATATTTTATTTAAGATTTAAATATCCTATTTCATATTAATAATAATCAAAGAATAAATATTTATGAAAAGAAAATATATGTTGTAAAAATGATAAATTAATATAAACCAGAACTCCATCTATATTTATCTAATGCAAAGCAAATAAAGTATTCATAATATTCTTGATTATACTCATAAATTTACCTTAAATTTATAAAATTAGTTTATAAATAAATATTATAAATTATTTATGAGAATTTAGAAAACTAATAGATGAGAAAAGATTTATCAAAACCATTTAGAGATCGTATCCCCACCTTTCTGAATACTATAAATGTTTTCAGTGAGAATAAATAAGATACTTCTCAATTTATATTAGAATTGATAATGATCAAAATGGAAATTGATAAAATAATTTTAAGATATTAAATATTGCTAATTGAAATTCATTGAATCTAGTAATGATTTTTGTATGATCTTAAAATAATGCTGTATAATATTAATGAAATAAGCATCATTAAGTTTAAAGTAACTATAAAAAGACTATGATTAGTTCTTTTCTCAATTACTTTTTTGTCTAATCTTGTTTCAAATAATAATTATTGTTATTTAAATTTTAGGAATAAAGATGTTTTCAATTTCTAGCTTTAGGTTTCTTGTTTAATTATTAAAGAAGGATAATTTCTTATATATATTTAAGAGATATTAAATTTTGTATGAAATAATAAAGAGAACAAGATATGCTAGAAATTACAATAATATAAACAATTAGATGTGATTTATTAAAAAAAATGAAGATAATTTTATGTGATGATGTAAATCTTTGAATATATCTATCTAAAGTAAGTATATAAAATAATTGAAGGAATTATAATTAGATTTATGTAAATTTAATGAGGAAATGTGTGTTCTAAAAAGAGTTTCTTTTATTTTTTGGAGAGAAGTGAGGAATGGTTATGAAATAAATAAATATTTATTATGTATTTATATGCTGATCTATTTGAATATGAGAAGAATATAAAATCGATTAATTGGGTTTAATTTTAATTATAATAATTGATCTCTATTGAGTGTGTGGATTTTTTTAATTATTTTTGTATTTAAAAATTATGAATATGTAATGCACATTAAACAAAGAGATTCTGCGATGTGAGACACCATCGACAGATGAAACAAATTATGATATCATAGAATAATAATGCTATTTGTCATAAATAATTGAATTAATATTTGTGGAGAACTATACATACAAAGAATTGCAGCAGTACTTTACTTACACATTCTAATAAATAGAATAATATGATTTCTTTTTTGATTAGATCTACAAATCGGTTAGGATTTACATGGAAGTAATGATTAAATTTTATACTAGAAAATTCTTTAACATATTAAGTAATTTTCTTAAATTACAAAACCTATTGATATCAAACATCTTAAGGATTATGTCACCATAATTAGTGAGCTGGAAAAATCTTATAAAGTAACTTAGTTAAAACATAAAGAATTACAAGAGGTAGTGAAATCATTTTCACAAAAAGAAAAAATTTCATAATCAATTCATTGTTTAAGACTCATGAAATACTCCTTTACAAATATAGTTTTGAGGAACAAAGAAGTAAATGTAAGAATCTGATGTAAAATATAGGACTTTTTGATTTCATTGAAGTAAGTATTAGATAAAAGGTTCTATTCATAAACTCAAAAATATTCTAAAACAAAGGAACGATTATAGTTATTTATATAACTTCTCAATGAAAAATAATAGGATTGTTTAAGCTATTATGATGATACAAATAAATAGAGACCATCTATTACTATAAATAATACAAATAATAATGAAGATGCGCCTTAAATTGTTCAAAATACTAATTTGGTACGAAAGAAAGTTTAATAAGAAAATAATGTAAAACTAAATGAATATAAAAAATTTGAATAAAACCTAGAAGAATACTTTTAGGCAAAAGCAAATATTGAAAAAAAGGAAATAAATGTGTCTTAGGAATGGATAAATCGATTAAAACAAAAAACCAAAAAAAAATGAATGTGTTTTAGATAAACATATTGTATATTTTTAATTAAGAAATCTTTTGGATTAACGATGATCTGGATTGTTTATAACTAATAATTCATATTACCTATATTACAAAAGATTTCTTATAATCTTTATTTTTCTTTGTATTATGAGATTATTTCATAAAATTAAATCTTTTATTAAATAATTAAATGGCAAGAGGTACACCAGCAATCGGTAAAAGACACTAAAAGACTCATACATTCTGTAAGAGATGTGGTAGATAAACATTCCACATTTAAAAAAACAGATGTGCATCATGTGGATATCCAGCTGCTAGATTAAGACTTTGTATTAATATAAATTAATACAATATTAGACAGTGGATGGGGTGAAAAGGTAGCTAGACGTAGATCAACTGGAACAGGAAGAATGAGATATTTGAAATCAATTGCCAGAAGAGCAAAGAATGGTTTTAGAGCAGGAACTTAAGCATAACCAAAAGTTAAAAATACATAGAAAAAGTGATTTAATCAAGCTATTATTACAAAATAGTACATTAAATTTTCACACATTCTTTTTCATTACTATATTAATCATTAAATAATAAATTAGCATTTATTTTAATAAAAATGAGAATCAAATTTTTTAATTCATTTTTATTTTCTTTCTTATCTATTATTATTCTTCAACTTATTAAATCTACATTACTGATTCCTATTCCTATACTCTATCAATTTAATATTCAGCTATAATATCTAATCTAAAATTTAATAGAAATAAAATATACAATTCATCATCATTACAATCATCATCTAAGATAGAAATAACTTTTATCTTATTAGTAAGTGTGGTAATGGATTTTAAAACCATACTGATTTAATCTTGCCAATCTTAAGAAATAAATATTCTGGCTTTTTAATTAACATCTTTCGAAATAGATATTTTGAATCCATATCCATGAAAAGGAGTTAATATATTTGGTTCTATATTGATAGTGTTAACATTTTTGTAAATACTAATAAAATCATCAAACTTATATTATGTTAAAAATCCACTATTTAATTCTAGAGAGGTTTCCTATTTTTGGCTATTTAAATGAATTTCTATTGTATTTCTCTTCAAAATAAATTAAAGCGCTTCTTTTTCATTAAAATCGTTTAAGTATTCTGAGATTTTTGGATCAACCTCTAATACTTCTAAGTGTCTTCTCTTTTCCATATATTTTCTAATCAATTCCATTTATTCTATTTCATCTAATTAAATAATTGGGCATTCAATAGTAAAAAATGAATCCTTAAAAAATACAATCATTTTAAATTTTTGTATGACTCTCAATTGAGAAATAGTGTAATAAACTTATATCTCTATTTTTTTAATTTATTTTTTAAAAGGTTTTAAACTTGTATATAATTAAAGAATGTTCAATTCGAAAGCTAATTTATCCAAAGTAGAATTGAGTTTTTATAGTTTTATTTATAGATCTGGAGTTAATGTTTAAGGCATTTTATAATGAATTGAATTAGTTTAGAGTTATTCAAATGAATTAGAATTGAAATATATAAAAAAAGTGGGCTTTTTAGTTTCAACATCTTCAAATTATTGATAATTGCTCAACAATAAAATTCCTTAATTTTGTTATATTTCAATATACCATTTTTAGAAAAGTAACAATGTAAATTCTAATCAATTGAATGACATGTCTTTAGACCTCTTAAAAATTATTCTGTTTATTTAATTACATAATTCATTTATTATTATTATAGTTTATGCAAAAATAATATTGGAATTCAAATAATATTCATTCCTTAACATATTTATTCATCTTCTAATTTAGCCTGATAGAGGATGGTGAATATATAAATAAACAAAAGTCCAACCAAGCCATAAAAAATGTATTGACATTATTTTTTACTATTTATATAATAATTAATACATATTGCTTTATGCATCAGCAAATGCATATCCTATTCCTATAAGCAATCCTACTACAAGTCCTCCTAAATGACCAGCAATATCAACTTAAGGTGGAGCATCAATAAATGATAAGAAAATCATTGGAGCTAATAAAATAAATACAACAATTCTTTTTGGTTCAATTCCAGGAAAAGCAGTTATAAAATAGATTAATTCAAGTGCTAATAAAGCAAATATTGATCCACTAGCACCTACTGATGTCTCATAATAAAATCTAACGCATGAGAATAAGGAAGCTCCTATTCCTCCAACAATGTAAAGAATTGAAACTCTTCTCCATCCGTGCGTTAATTCTAAAATGAACCCATAATATATTTGAACCATCATATTGCCTATAATATGTGAAAAGGATCCATGAAGAAATATAGGACAGACTAATCTCCAAAATTAAAAACGGTATATAATTGAGGGAGTATGTTTTGAACCCCAAGTATACAATACACATTCAAAACTATAAATATCAGATTCATCCTCATCATCTTCCAAATATTTTTCAGTTAAATAAACAGTATGTATAATTGTTAAAAAGAATATTATGAATTAAACAACAGTAGTTTTGAATGTTAAAGATTAATATGAAAACCTTTCAAAGAAGGTTTATTCCTAAGCTTATTTTGTTTTGAAAACTTACTTGGCTTATAGGGTCTCAATTCATTTTATTACTCATTGTTATAAAAGGGATCTCTTTCCATTAATAATAATATATATAATATAATATAATATAATTTATTTTTCAAGGTTCCCACTTAATGACTTCTATTGCTTAAATAGCATAAGGACTGATATATTCATATTATGGATCAGTTGAGAAATTCTAAAGAGTAGGCAAACATTTATAACATTCTTTTCTTCCTTTTGGATGTTCAGCAAGACTTGTTACTAATTAAACACTATTCAATTTGATTTAATGATCATTATGACTAAGTAATTTAATAACAATATCTAGTTTATTATTATCCATCATTTAAAATTTGCATTCATTATGTTATGCTAAACTAGCCAAAGCCATTGTTGCATTAGTAATAACTTCATTATGATCATCTAATAATCTAGCACATAATTCAAGAACACATCCTTAATTAATAACATCTAATTTCCCATTTGCATCATATGAAATGCAAGCTAAATTCTTACAAGCCAAAGATCTTAACTTATAATTAGATCGTTTTAATAGTTATGTCAATCTTTTTATAGCTTATGTTTTTAGAATTTCTACTTAAGCATCTCCACAATATAATATTTTCTCTAATAATTGTAAATCCAATGTCAATAGATCCTCAACACTTTCCTCTACTAATTTATTAACCAATGGTACTAAAATACCCTATGAATATACATGATCAACACCTACAATATAAAATATTATTATTACCTTATTAAAATTCTGTCATGTTTAATAAACTTAGATATCCATTTTTTCTAATATTAACAACTTAATCATTAAGAAGTTTCATTATTGTAGGAACAAAACACTTTTCCATTATTTTATCTCTTCCAAATTTTATTGAACTTATCAACACCTTTTTATTGATTAATATATTTTTACAATGGCACTAGAAGAGAGTTCTCGAATTCTTTCATGAGGATTAGATAAGTGACTCATTAACACATCCAATATTTCACTAGATAATAATGCCAATGTTATAAAATCTCCTCTATGACTATTATAATTTTAATAATTATAAGAATATTACAAATCTTCATTGATTTCTTCTAAATTCTTCAGTTTCAAAACATCATCACTAGCATATATTTAGTTTGTCATTTTCACATATCTACGATCACCATATGCAAATTATAAACAATCTTCAGGTTAAGGTTCATAGTCTTCTCTATTTCTATGATAAGCTATCATTTATTCATTTCTTAAGTTAAACTCCATTTTATTATATTATATTAATAATATGTAATTCAAATCCTAAAATATTTGCATTGTCAACTAAATTTAAACTAAAATTGAAAAACACCCTAGTTAGAACGATAACTTGATTAATAAAATGATAATTTCAAACAATAACTTATTTGTCTGTTGTATCATTCTTTATGAAAAATATAAGGAATATTATATTGCTACAGTAAGAAATTTAGAAACAAATTAAATAATTATTGAACATGAAGATGATGCTGACACATTTCATATATAATTCACTCCAGATTCTAATTATATATTTTTTATGGGTGAATAGGATTATACAATTTATGATCTCTAGACAAAATAGTAATATAAAAAAAAGTTTATTACATTTGATGCTTATAAACATTTGAAATTATCCTTTACAGAAGATTCTCAATATAAATTAATACAAACATATGATACATTAGAAATATCCAATATTCTTGGAGAGCAAGGTCAACAATATTAAGTCAGTCCTGATACTTTTGATTGGAGATTTCTTTATAATAATACACAGTATCTCTCATCAATGTAAATTCTCAGATAATAAAAAATAATTTGCTTAAAAATTTTCAGAAAAAAGAACAACAAATTGGATCTTATAAAATCAGTCTTATTATCATTTGAACCAAAATACTTCTCAAAAATAAAGGCCAAAATCTGGAATATAAATAATTTGGCAATAGTATAACATCATTTTGGATTAAGAGTCTATAATTTATAGAAAAATAAATTAATTAGAAATCTTAAATATCCAACTAAATAAATGCCAATCTGTGCTTATTAACATCTTGAGAAGAACTAAGGTTTTATTGTCTATTCATATGATAATTTAATCAATCCTATGCTAACAATAGAATTTATGAAATTCTTACCAACTGTTGAATATCAATAGCCAAATTTCTTTCATAAAAATTAATTGTTTTTGGGGTAGAATTCAGCTTTAATATAATTAAATCCTGAATCAGAATTATGGCAACAAATTACTTTTGAATCTCAAAATAATTGAAATGAGAAATTAATGTTAATTTATATTAAAATACAAACCATATTCATAGTAATGTGATATTATTATTATTGTGTAAAATTTCTATATATATTTTTGAATTAGATGATTATAGTGATTATTCTAATTCAAAAATTTATTAAATCTAACTCATATAATAAAATATATGTGAAAGCTAAATAATTTAGTTTATATTTTTTTGGGTTATGGTGATATTTTCCTAAATTTATTTAAAATGCAAAGTATCTTTCACAATAATTTGGAAACTTATGACGAGATGTCATTTCTAAAATTACAATTTAAATTATCGTTAAAATGGATATTTAGCAATTTGAAAAAGAACTTGTAACAAAACTTTAATTCAAAGCTTCTTCAAGAATTGGTGTTGAAACAGTTTTACTCAAAATTTTCAAATTCTTTGACCTCAGCAATGAGGGAAATTTGAAAAAACAAGACTTTTTAAAAGCAATAGCAAAAGCAGGTGTTACGATTTCAGATTAAGATGTAAAAGAATTTCATAAATTTAGTTTGGAGAAAGACTTTGGACAACATATTCTGTTAATGAATAACTAAATTATAAGGAGTTTATTAATAGAGTTGTTGGGAAGCAATCATTAGAGGAATAAGCAGAATCAAGAATTGTATAAACAGGAAATCCTTTAGAATAACTAAGATTAAAATTACAATTAAAGGGAGCATTAGGCATATTGAATTTAGCAATAAGTTTACCAAGTTAATTTACTGCTTAGCAATTACAAGATTATTTGAAAAGAAATAATATAGAAGTGGATGGATTGTATTAATTATTCAATGGAGAGTATATGAGTGCTTCAAATTTGATTAATTAAATTAAGGGTCAATATTTGAATTAATCAAGGTAAGGAGTAGTTTCAGATGTATTTTACACATTTGAATAAAGAGAAATTAGTCCATAATAATTAGTGAATAGATTTAATGCAGATAGACATCCTGAAATTAAAATACTATGTAGATCACCTAATGATGTTAGAGAAGAATTTTTATCAGGATTAAGTGTCTATCTATAATTAAGAGGGATTAAAATGTTAACAATATAAGATTTTTTTGATTTTTACTCTTATTTTGGATTTTATGTGACAAATGATGAGATTTTTAAGACTATAATAGCTTCAGTTTGGGATTTAAATTAATTTTAATAATAAGGTCCATAATATGGTACTCCACCACATAGTGTTAAATAATAATAATAATTAAATTATTCTCCTGAATCATAGAATATAATAACAAATCCTTAAATTGTCTAATAATTAAATTTTTCCCCATCTTAAGATAAATCTGTAAAATCTTATCAATAATAATAATAATAATAATAATAACAACGTTAATCAGTTCCAAAATCAGTCAAATCTCATTAATCAAATGCATCTTAGATGTCATCAACATCTAGATAAGTTGAATTAATAGTTTAAAGAATAAGAAATAGATTAATATCAAGAGGAGCAAGAGGATTCATATCTTTATATAGAGTTGGAAAAATCTTAGATGCTGATCATGATGGGATGTTGAATTTAACTGAGTTTAGAAAGGCAATTAGAGATCATAAAATAGAAGTGACAGATCCTGAAATAGATCTTGTATTCTAATATTTTGATAGAGAATCATCAGGAATGATAGATTTATGGGGTTTTATGTTTGTATTAAGAGGTGAAATGTCATAATTAAGAACTTAATTAATAGAATAATTATTTGAAAAATATAGAACAAATGATTATATAACATTGTCAACATTAAGAAATAATTTTATATGTAGAAACCATCCAGATTTAAAAAGTGGAAAGAAAAGTGATGATGAAATCATATAAGATTTTTTTGAACCATTATAATAATTACATAATATAAATGGAGGATTTGGTAATGAAAATATTACAAGAGAAGAATTATTAGAATTCTTTAGTAATTATAGTGCTTCAATACCTGATGATAAATATTTTGAATAGATAATTGTAAATGTATTTAGATTGTTATAAGATGGAAATAAGAATCATCATGCTGGTAATAAATAAGTTTTTGAACCAGATCATAAAAGAAGTTATTTATAAGATCATCATAGATATGTATTATAAGGTGGTAGTGTTTCTGCAAATGCACCATTTGGAACATTTACCTAATAAGAATAATTAGCTTAATCAAGACCTTCTGTTGGTTATAATTAACCAGCATCATTTAATATATTTAAACCATTAGAAGATGTCAAAGTTAATTAAAATGGATCATAAATTTAATAAATCCCTCTATCCTAATCATAGATTTCATAATAATCATAATAATAATAAGAAATAGAAAAAAGTGTTAAATCAAGTAAATAAAAAATGGATGGTGTTTAAATTCTTAGAAATAAAATATGTTAAAGAGGATTAAGAGGATTAATAAATATTTAGTATAGATTTTAATTGTATGATAAATCTCATTTGAATGCACTATCTTATTAGGAATGGAAGAATTGTTTTAAATAATGGAGATTAGAAGTTAGTGATTAAATTTTAGATGAAGTTTTTTAATAATTTTAAACAAATGGAATGATGAATTATGATGGATTTATAAAATAAGTTTAAGGTACTATGAGTTTAAGGAAATTTAATGCTGTTCAATAAGCATTTGAATCTCTTCCTAAGGCTACAATTGATATAGTTAAATGTAATTTAAATTAAATAAATAATAGAATAATTCAATGCTAAAGATCATCCTGATGTAAGAGCTAATAGAAAAAGAGAAGATGATGTTTTATGTGAATTTATAGACACTTTTGAATAACATCACTTTGTTTTTGTATTAATATTTATCTATATTAATAGACAGGTGGAGATTATGTGAAAAATCCAAATGTAACTTTTGAAGAATTTATTGGATATTACAATAATATAAATGTGTTAATTGAAGATGACATTTAATTTGAATAACATATTTAATCGGTATGGAATTTAAGAAGGAGATTCTGATTATAATATATATTAATATATCATAATTAACATATAAAATTAATTAATTGTATTTTACATATTTTTGATAAATATTATTTATTTGATCAACTTAATAGCCATAATTTAATTGTTTGATCTACTGAACATGTGGCGAATATAAATTTATTTATTTCACATTTTAAAATGAATTTATCATGAGCATTTTCAATCTTCTTTTTTTATTTCTATTCTTTCAAATTCCAAACCTATTATAAATATAATAAATATATATACTCTAATAGTCTTATCATCAGATACTGAAAGCATATGAATACCATCTGGATGAAAAGAGACTCCATTAACCCAATTATCATGTCCAGATAATGTAAATAGATTTGTTCCTAAAATAGTATTCCAAATTTTTATTTCCTTGTCTCTTGATACAGAAACTAATAAATTAATAGTTTAAATGTTTTGTTGTTATTATTAAGTCAATATTTATTTAGCCCCATGTTCTGGAACATATTTAACTTATTCAACCACATGTTCATGTCCACTTAATTAATGCAAAATTTATCCATTATCTATTACCCATATATAAATCATTTAATCTTAAGAACATGAAGCCATTTGTTTTTCATCATTACTAAATACAGCACATCTGACCCATTCTTAATGTTCAGAAAAGGTTTTCTTACAAAATCCAGTCTACACTTCCCATAATTTGATACTTTTATCTCTACTAGCACTCAATATAAAATCTCCATGATCAGAAAATTAAACAGTTGATACACTATGTTCATGACCAATTAGTGTTTTTACACAAGTATGATTTTTTAATTCCCATAATTTTATTGATAAATCCTTATTATCAAATTTAATTATACACTACTAGCACTACAAATATATTTTCCAGTAGGATCAAATGCCAAACAATTTACATTACTTGTATGTCCTTTTAAGGTTTTTTCAAAATGACCACTTTCGTAATCCCATAATTTAATACTACCATCATCACTTGCTGAACCCAGAATTTAGTATTAGGGATGAAAAGCGATACAATTCACTCCTGCTCTATGTCCTTCTAATTTAAATTTCTCAATTGGTGTTAATCTTTATTCATCATCAGCTATATCTTAACTTTATTTGTTGTACATTTATTAAATTGTATTTTGCCAGCTTAAGCTTATGCTAATTATTCATTCAATTGTTCTACTTGCTATTCCAAAGTTATTACTCTTTTTGACAACCTTACAATAGAATTCCATTTTTTTTCCAATAAATCAGCTTCTATTTATCCATCTTTAACAACAGCTTCAACTTTAAACACTTATGCACTTTATTGATAGCTTATCAATAAATATTAATGTATTGCTTAATTTAATTCATCCCTTTGTCTAGCAGTCAACACCATAATAATAATTAAATTAATAATAATTTCAAATGGGATTCATTTTCATTTGATTTCTATAAAAATCAACTCAAACCTCCAATTCTGATTAATTATTCAAAAACATAATATATGTTTACCATGATATGATATAATCCTTCTAAACTTCTTGATTATCTTTACCTTCCTTCTATTATTAAGATCTCCTATCAAGGATATAATTAATATTGTTTATTAAATAATGGATGGTATACATAATATATGATATTTTAACTCATTCTTTCTTACTTGCTTCTTCAAAGTTTTATCCTTGCACTAATACAGGAATATCTTCTTCATCTTTTTGATCAGCCTCAGCAATTTTTTCAACTTTTTCCTTAAATTTTTTTTAAATTATGTACCTTTGACTAATTTTCTTTCATTAATTCTTAAAGAAGACCCATTTAGTTAGGACCAATATGATTCAATATCTCTGGCATCAACTCTGCAAACTTTTTAGTTTCTGGATTTCCAAAAATGGCAAATGTATTGCTTGCAATAGCAGCTTGGACTTCTGGTTTTGAAAAATGAATAATTGTATTATCATCTTTGAAAAAGTTGACTTCATCAATATTTCCTAATTGTTGTACTCCAAATTTCTTAATAACTTATTTAAGCTTCTTATCATCATTTATCTATAATCATTATATCCATTACGTACTTATGTTTAATGAACATTTTTATGCTTTCTTCTAGCCAAAGTGCTGCCCATTTTAGTTTATCCAAATTTTTCAGCTAATTTTTTTCTATTTTCATCAAGTTCTGCCTTGATTTATTCTTTATTGCTAGACATTCTTTGTTTTTATTTAAATTTAAAGATTTAATTTTTTAATGACTCTCTATATATACCCTTATTTATAATAACTTATTTATTTATGTAATTATTCTATAGTGAATATCATCCACTATAAATCTACATCATATACCAATACACAAGTAAATGAGTGTAATTTATTAAACTTATATAATATACAATAACATTTTATTTTTAATTATCAAAATGGCAACAGGTAATCTAATATAAAAATCTTAGGTGGATAAATTCTTAGATATAATGGTGGTACTTGCTATGCTATGTGTTAAGATGTATTTTCATGGTATAATCCATCTATCTAAATCTGTTGGAAGGGATGTGATTATGCTACTGGTAGAGTAAATGATCCTGTTTTGAGAAAAGAAGCAGAAGACATGTGTAAAAGATATACAGCAGAAGCAATGTGGACAAAAAAAGGAGAATTAGGTATTATAATGATTTGCAAATTAATTTAATAGATAATATGGAAGACTTAAGAATTCATGCTGATATGTTCCCAGAAAACCCTAGAAATATATATAGAGCATGTTTGGCTGGAGTTCGTAGATAAAAATATTGAATCATTATAACAATATAAAAATAATATATAGTATCATAAGATAAATAATTATTAATGTTTTCTTTTTAATCCTTAAATTCAAAAGATAGTTTAGATGAATTTCTACCAATGTTTCATAATAAAGATCATAAAAAAGCTATCTTATATTAGAAAGAATAGAGCATAATAAAATATTTAAAACAAATAGGAGTCATAATGAAAACTGATCCACTTTAAAAATAACAAGAACATTATAAGTAATAATTAACATAAATTCTTATTAGAAAAACTAAAATAGTTTAAGTAATTGCTTTATAAGTTGAAAATGATGATTTAGATGAAGAAGAAAACACAGTTTCAACTAATGAAGTAAGTCCTTCAGAATTAAATGTAAACGAACTTTGTACGTTTAATAATAAATTAATCTTAAAAAGAGGATTATAAGAGTAATAAAGAAAACATTCTTTTGAAGAATTTGATCTTCAGTGAATTTTGAGAATTTCTTTAAAATTAATTTTTTATACAATTAAGATATAAATTTTATTAATTATTATTTGGTTTCAAAATTATTTCTAGTATCACTATAATAATTGAATTAATTTCTTATAGAAAATATTTGCAGTTTTTAACATAAATAATATAAATCACATTCCTTCTATTATGAATTAACTCTAAATAACTGTTTCTAAACAATTTTATAGATTATCTCTGCAAATATCTTTTTCTTAAATCTAAGTAACAGCAGCAATGAGGCTAACAAAAACCCAAGAATTCTAACCTCTATCTATTTCTAAATAGAATAATATAATTGATTGATTTACCTATTTAATTTGACATAGTAAATTGTATGAATTTAAGATGAATCAAAAATAAAGGTTAATTTTATCGAATCAAAGTGTAAATTAAAATAATTAAAAAGTGATCACTATCAACTTACAATTGTTTCTTATTTTTCATAGGATGTTCACTATAATATTCATCTAAACACTTATAATTTATTGTATTCTTACTTTACATATTGTATATTTTAATTTTCCAATAAGTTCAAACTTTCTAACAGGACATATTTATTTATAAATATAATTTAATTATAGAATAACTTCAGAATAAGGATCTTTCTTTTCACTCAACCAAAAGGCTTATTCTGCACCTAAATCATTAAGAGTGAGATTTTATTTAAGTTCTAACATTTATTCATAAACCTATAATTCTTATGAATTTACACATTTTAAAAAATTAATATAATGAAGATAAATTTTTTCATATGAGAAAATGGTTTTTAATGTAATATCAGGATCAATATCTTTCATGTAGATTTCAGTTAGCAATTTTTATTAAAATTTAGTTATAAATCTTAGAGATTATTAATGATCTATTATTTCTTAATTAATTTCATTCATATTTATCTATTGAAATGTTAATAATACTAGTTAACAATAATTTTTAATGATAATCATAATAAAATTATCTTTTTATAAGATTTCCTTTTCTACTAAATTCTTTAATTTAGATTATTTTTTAAGTTCATTAATATTATTTAAAATTCTTCTTTTTATTCTTGTTGATTTCATTAATGATTATACATGTAATTGGCATTAATCAATTTAAATATGTTCACTTAAATTTAAACAAGGATAAGCTTCACTATTATCTAAACGTAAAAATTCTTCTAATTTTTATTTATTTTGAAAAGCTTTTATTAATTCTTCTGAATTGATATTTTCAATGAATATTTTCAATTCTGAAATTATTTTTTTAATTCTCTTATTGTATAAAGGATAATCTTATTAAATTTATAATAGGTTTTAACTAAGTTTCTTCCATTAATCAATTGTCATAATAATATTATCATATTTGATACATTTTATCCCACTTAGATTTAGAGTTTCCTTTTTAGTTTTTAAATGTTTGATATATGCTTGAATAGATTATTATGCAGGAGTTTATTTATTACCCATAATGAAATATATATAAATTATATATATAATAGATATTAAAAATCACTTTTTCCTGAATTATTAGGATTAGCTTATAGATTCAAAATCTGGAATGTATGAATCTGATACATCATCTTTTTTTGATAAACTTCTTTTAAAAGTTTAACTTTAACTAATTTATTCAAAATCTTAAGAATATATATCTGATATAACATCTTCTTCAACAGCTTCTTAAATAGAAGTAGTTCTTCTATTTGTAGAAGGTTAATTTCTTGGAGTTTTTGATTGTTTTTGTTATTAACTCTATGAAAATTAGGATTA